AAGTGCTTTTCCACTCTGGGATATGGAGTGATTGCGAGGCAGGTACATCTGACAATCACAAGTGACTTTTTCTGCTATTCTCCCCTTTACTCCCCAGGAATAAAGACAGGGAGACTCAACATACACTCTTTGCCAATGCTTACAAGCTTTTGTTTCAAACTTATTGTGGGATAGTCAGTCACAAGTGCTGAACGAAAGGCTTGCTAGCAAAGGCAAAGAGCAGAGTTAGAATCCACTACTACTTTAAACCTGGAGCCTTTTCATCACTTTATTATTAGCATCAATATACTGTCACTGATATAGACAAACTCTCCCAAATCAAATTTAGAGTGGAGATGCACGTCAACATCAATCCCACTGCTGGAACCAGTACACCAATCCCCAAGCAAAGCAATTTCATCCAGTCATTCGCCAACTTGTGGGAAACTATAGAATTAAAAGCAGTGCAAATGTCAAACCACTTTATACTGTACTTTGAAACTTACATGATTTGCAGTGGATGAATTCTTTCACCCCTCCTCATGAGTTGCTAAGAATTCAAGACATTGATTGAATTGGTTTAAACTGGCATCAACAGTGGAAAAGTATGTGAGTGAGAACACAAGTCACATCACTTTACACTTTCGTACATTCTTTTGAATAGACGATTATCGAATGCTGGGGTCAGATGTCAGCTGATTAACAACTCCGCCCTCAGCATACAGTAAATCATGCAGTAATATGGCATGGGTTCAACTAATTTTCTCAACATAACAAGTTCTTGATCGGGCTTGGTGTAGGTGGGTGGGGCCTGGGATGCGAAAGAAAGCCAAAACCATCTCTCGTCACCTCTGCCCACCTCTCCAATTGGCAGTTACAGAGTAACATGCAGCAGTTTGAACAACGAAGGACATAAGAAGATTTAGAAATACAAAGAAGTGCAGAGAATAGGAAATTGAATTGAAGGATTGTAATGAATGGTGAAAAACAACAGATGTGAGGGGTAAAATTCCACCTATGTCTCGACTCACTCTATTAACGTAACCCTTTCAAAACACATAGAATTGGCAATTTGCTTTCTCAACCGACAAAAGGCTTAAAAACTCCCAACAAAATACCAGCCACACAACCGCCTATGCCAGTTTTGTTTCCCAACTGCAATCTACCATATTTGTTAGCAATTCTTGGAATTTCAGTCACACAGCAGAGTCACTATAAACTTGGGTACTTAAGGGAAACAGATCTTCAATTAGTATTAAAATGAGGAATTGAAAGTCTGAAAGGAAGTTAAACTGAACATTTACTAATCATCTTATATGGCAAAGGCAGCCTCGCCTAATCCCGCTTTCAAGAGGATGGGCTCAGCGAGTTCATTGTCGAGCACCTAATTCAATGTATTCATCAATGACCTATTGGATAGCATCGAGGGGGATGGACTTGGTGCATGTGTTCAGACACCCGAATGTGGCTGACCAAAAAAATCTTATACGATATTGTCCTTCACTGAATTCCAATTCCACCAAGTTATAACAGGCCAGGCCATTTCTGCAGGGATCGCCTTAGTTCAAGAAAACAAGAATGTCCACCATTGAACAAAAATAAGGCTAAAGAACAGAATGATGCAATGGATTAACACAATGTCTTGCCTCCAGGACCTGGAATTGAATCTGACCTTACTGATTGGAAGGTCCTATAAATTCTATGCTACATTAGAAAGATCAACATGAAATGAACCTGGGAAATCTCAGAGCAGCTTCATGTGATTATAAGTCTTCTAGACAAACTCCTTATAGTGCAGCGCAGATCAGTCTCACTCAGACAGAGCAGAAGGTTGGTTTGTGGGGACAATGGCCACATTATGGCATGTTTTGTGAATTTGGGAACAATGCTCATTGCTGGAGAATGTAGAAGGACTTCTGATAATAATCCTTGCATTTGATATAGCGCCTTATCACATCTTTGAGCTTCTCAAAACGCTTCACAGAACATACTGTAAAGCTTCTGTTCATGTCATATCTGACTTGACTGTGTGGACATCTATCACCTAAAGCCTGAACTTCATTTAGAGAACCTCCACCTCTTCTCTGGGTTACGAACATTCCTAGCTTAACATGTGGTAAACTCAGTGGAGCAGAAAACATCTCTCACAGTGTAAAGAACTGACCAATTCACTTCCTCATCTATCGCTTGTAATGTAGTGGGATAGAGGTTATCGCATACAATCTCCTAGGATCGAGATTATTCATTCCAGACAGTGGAACTATAGGGAAGTGTTTAGTGAAGGCTAAGTGCTTCTCACAGGTCCACTGTCACATTAAAATGATCAGCTGAAGCTAGACTTTGCACATCCCCTTTGCTAGAGTTCAAATGGATTGGGGAACCTCTCCCAACAGTCCCTTATATTCCTACAGGCAGCAAAGTGGGGGCAGTCTCAGACAGCTTTATGATGCAATCCCTGGTCAACCAACAGGTTAGACTTTGATCCTCAATAACTTCCTTAAAGAAATTTTGGACACTTGACGGGAAGATTCAGGTAAGTTTATCCTTTATTTTGTAAAATTACTTCTTACTGGGGTGGGGACGTGCAGTCCCTCTCAGATCTGTGCCAATGCCAGACATTTCCCAGACATCTCTAGTTTTCAGACCTGTTACAGCCTCAGTTCAAAAGCACCCGTTTGATACAGTCCAGATGGAGAACTGATGGACTGAAACTTTCATCCATTCTATGCCACCATTGTGAGACCTCCATTTTTCTACATTTTGCCATAGATGCAGCCTTTTAATAATATATTATCCGGAGGGCAAGATCTATTGCAAAGACTGGCCACATTAAACCCACTGTAACTGCGGAAATGTGTGTTTTTGCTCTTGAGAAATCCAGTTCAACGATCAGATAAATTAGAATTCCCCATTTTGTATTGTTCACTCTCTCATAATCTAAGATGACTCTCCAGTTAGTACTGGGGTAGACCCATCAGTTCCCAGTATCCCAGTATCCTTGTACTCACTTTTCAATCCCTCCATGGTCTTGCTCTAACCTAGCTCTGTGACCTTCTAAAATTCACCACCAGCTATCAGGCTTTCAGCCTCATCATAGCTCCCACCCCCAACATATCCAGACCAGAGATCAGTTGGAAAACCCTGTTCAGCACATTGGGATGTCCTCCCAACTTGAAAAGTGCTATACATATGCAATTTGTTATTGTTAGGGGAGAGATTCACTGTTTGAAGTTCCATATTTTGAATCAAAAATTAAATAAAAATCCAGTGTGCCTGTTAAGGTGAACATTAGAGATCTCATGACAATATGAAAAGGAAAGGGAGTTTCTCCGGATCAACAAGAGAAACATAGACAGAGGAAGGAGCGAGCGTCAGTCTGCTGCGAACACACCATCAACTGGGTCATCTCTCATTGTCACATTGTGATTAAAATCTGTGTCTCTAGGATCTGGTTTACAAAATTATCTAAATGCCCCCCCCCCCCCAAACAAAGACAAGGCCAATCTTAAAACTCGAATCCCTTTTTGGGTTTTTTTTCTTAAAAGCTCAAGAACAATCTTACATGATTATTGAGGGATGGTCTATTATTATTATGGAACCTTGGTACAAATGGCTGCTGCCAGGATGGCCTACACAAAAAATAGTTACTGCACTGGATGGTAATTATGCATGAAGTCCTTCAGACATTCTGTTGTGATAAACTGCTTTAAAAATGGAAGATCTTTCTTTCCTCTCAGTTGAACATATTCTTAAAATCGAAGGTCGATGACATTCATCCTGGTTAGCACAACAATTCATAGTATCGATCAGCTCTGCCGGTGGTGGTGGGGAGGGTGGAGTGGCAGGAGGGAGAGCGCGTAGGAGTAAGATAGAGGAAGAGAGGGAAAGGAAAAATCAAGGAGTGGAAAACAATCAATCCATGGATGGAATCTGTGAAGATATCAGAGGACTGAATCAATCCACCCTCCAAACCAAGCAAATAATATGGATCAGGTTTGGGGGAGAAGGGTAGGAGACGAGAATTTGTAAAAGACTGAAAAACGACAACAATTGCTCCTAAAAATATGTACACAGCCAATTTGTATCAGATACAGTAGTTAGAAATATTAGATTAAAATATCACGTAGATGCCGTAAAGAACAGTAAAGTTTGAATGGAACAAGTTATTCAAACAAAGGCAAGATTTCACAATAGAATTTTTTGACAAGTAGTTGAAACAGTTGAAATACAAAGTATTGCTATTAATCGTTTTGCAGTTGATTGAAAGACTGAATCCATTAATTCTTAACTAATGTTTACATCTGAAATATACCTGGCACTCTTTATGCTCAGAAATCATTTACAGCTCAAAGAACTATGAGTGTAATGGAATGTGTTATGAAGTTTACTATACTGTACTTCTTCTTCTGTGCAGGAAACTTATTATAATAATAATCCTTGCATTTGATATAGCGCTGTATCATGTCTTCAAGATGTCTAAAGTGCTTCACAGAATATACTGTAAAGTGAATTGACTATATTTTATGGGAAAAACACGGCAGCCAATTGCACACAGCAGTGTCCCACAAACAGTCATAGATTGAGTGACCAAATTATTATTTTTTTACATTTATTTTTTTGAAGGGATTGTTACCCTGCGGAAAAGTGATCAGTTTCTTTTTGAAATCTTTCTCTTTTATTGTCTTTCATTTTAAGAAAAAACAAGCTGACCGGCGAACTGACACACACTTACACATTCACATTCCTGAACAAGAAAAAAAAACATTTTGGTTGCACAAAGCACTCACAGAATTTCGCCATCAGCAGAGCAAACATTACGGTGACCTGAAACAACTTTTTTTTACCCCATCCAAGTTTTTGCAACTACAGTACTTCCGTTAATTAAAAGCAATAAAGAAATAACCACCAACACATACACACAAGCACACACACACCAACACACACACACACACAAAGACTTCAAAGTGTTCAATCCACCGCCCATGTCACCCGCACAACAGTAGCGCAGACGTAAGACTTACTTCTCCCCAGTGATCGAATGGGAATCAGTAATGGACAAAGCTGCTCTTCCCTGGTTGCACTGAGGACGAGACTTTATCAATCCAGGGGGAAAGCTTCTTCATGGGAATCAAGTTCAAGTAGAAACCCCCCCCCCACCAAAACTTGTGCAAAATCCAAGATCAAGCGGTGCAGTGTGAACCCCGAGCTGCCTTATTCACTCCCTGCAGCAAGGTTGAAATTGAGGAACTAAATGGTTTTTTTTTCTCTTCTCTGCGTTACTTCCTGGTGTTGTTTATATAAATCAAATGACCTCCTACCCCAGACTAGCCTGCAATTTGCATGATTGTACAGTAATTGTTCCTACTACCGTTTTGTGGGCAGTCCTCATTAAGCAATCGCAGGACAGAATTGGCAGCAAAGGGGGTTTAATCCAATCTTTTCTGGGCTACAAGAGTTCACTAAACAGTGAAAGGAGAGGGAAATAATTTAGCCTGAATCTTTTCTTCCTGTAACACGGTTGGCAGAAAGGCTACTGTTACAATACATTGCTGTATGCCTGTACCATTGTTGTATTCTTTGCCTATCTACATAAAGATTCAAAGTGCAATTGATAACAGGTACACAAGTCACAAGGATGTAATGCAAACTCGCTATGTGGAAACTAAAGGTGGTTCCCCCTGTGATTTAAGGATGTTTAATAAAGGGTTGGTGCTGTGTTGACTCATGATGAGCCAGCTCAGTAGGAAAAAATAAGTCTGGAACAAAATTTCCCATCAATGTAGAGTTCAGATTATCTGTACTTAATACTAACGGGCTGCTGAAGACAGCATTAATGGTAGAGAGAACTTGGAATTAAAATATGCAAAGGTGCATAATGCTTATTTGTCATTTATAAAACCTTTTTTATTTTCAGGCCATGAAAACACAACAGAATACTAATACATTCACAGCAAGCATAACTTGCACAATTTTAAACGGTTCTGTTTTTGATGAAGGACCTTATAGCAAGGGGGGGAGGGTAAAAAAAGAAGACCCATGATATGCTCACGAACATATTATTGAAAAATATGGTCAGTTAATGAATAGGGAGGGGGTGGGAAGTGTGATTCTCTTTCTCTTCTCCCCCTTCCAGTGGCTTGGGACGTCCTCCCGACATGAAAGGCGCTCTATAAATGTAATTTGTTGTTGTTCCTCCATCCCCAGACTGTTTGCAGTAGTTTGATCTGAAGCCAGCTGTGCAATGAACTGTCAGGCCCACAAATAATGTCTTGGGACTGGCTTAACTGATTTTAATGTTGTTCACAGCAATTATCCAACTCACTGGCACTCCATTGCACCCATCCAACAATCAATAAATTAAGACTAAATTAAGATTATTAAGTATTCAAAGAAGATTGCAAAGATTACAAAGAATGTAGAACACGGAAACGAGTCACTCTGTGTCAGTGTCAACTAGTCGGTGTCAGTATTTATACTCAGTACAAAGCCTTCACCCAATCTTTACTCCCTCCCATAGCCTTCTATTCCCCTTTCCTTCATGTGAAGAACTAAGTTCCTCTTGAATGCATCTATACTATCTGATTCAACTGCTTCAGGCAGCAAGTTCCATAATTTCACTACCTTCTGAGTAAAGCAGTTCCTCCTAAATTCTCTTTAAGATCCCCAAGTCATCAAGGGGGTTTCTCATGATAATATAGCCAACAATCACCCAAATAAAATTAATCTTTTGTTCCATAGCAGTTTTTGGGACATTGCTGTGCACAAATTGGCTGTTTCGTTCGCCCACAAAATACACAGTCAGTAGACGTTATGGTATATCCTGTGAAGCACTTTGAGACATCCTTCGAATGTGAAAGGCACTATATCAAATACAAGGATTATTTTCATCCCCCCTTCTGGCCTGGTGAGAACCTCTCTAGCAAATATAAAATTTTAAAAGTTTGTAAAATTTAAGGCTGAGATAAATGTAGAACTCAAGTGTTAGAATGTTGTGGAAACAGAAGAGCACTTGAATTTATCAATAGGCAAATATTACGGGTGACATTTTCAAAATTACCTATACCAGTTATCGTCACAAACATTTTCAAAGGACATTTTGTTAAAGAAGAATGCAAACAATTTAGAACTGGATGTTTAGGTGTTTTTGTCCCTGGTTTCACAGCTTTGTGTTGCAATTTATCCAGTCAAGATTTTATTTTTCTGGAACCTCAGTCATATGCTCTAACCTCTGTAACTCCTGGCTTCAATCCCTCTGCCTCATTACCTCTATCTTTAAATCCCTCAAAACTTACCTTGTCGACTGCCCATTTGGTCCTTTCCTCCCTCTCCTTCACCAACCCTGCTCTGAGACAATATCCTGCATAAAGGGCGCTATATAAACTCAAGTTGCTGTTGCTGAAATGCGCTTATGCTTCATTTCCACTCCATTTCAGATATTTATTCTCAGGGTGGTGATATGCTGAGAGTTTCTGCCGCAGTACAAAAAGGATATTGGTGAAATCAAGAAGATACAGAGGAGGGCAACCAGAATGATTGAGAGAATGGAGGGGACCAGACTATGAGGAGCGACTAAGTAAATTGTTCTTGTTCACACTGGAAAAGAGAAGATTGAGAGGCGACATGATTGCTGTCTTTAAGCTTCTAAAGGGGCCAGACAATATACATCATGACAGGCTGTTTCAACTTGTCCAGAATAGTAAAACCAGAGGACATGGTCTGGATTGAAGGGAAGTAAATTCAGAACAAATTCACTCAAATACTATTTCAGTGAGCGAATAGTGAACCTGCGGAACAGGCTTCCTTGGGAGACGGTTGAAGCAGGAAGTGTTGATTCTTTCAAAAACAGATTAGATTTTTTTTGTAGGAAATAACATTATATGATATAGTACATAGATAGTTCGGGACATATGTGCATGCGACCACCAGGAAGGTGGAAGGCGAACTAGATCAGCCATAGGCTTTTTTCATCTAGGATTTCTTATGTAACAGGACTTGGACTTTGCCCTGAATTGAAGAAGATTAGTCAAACTCTGTTGTTTCAGGGCATGGGTTGAGGGCAACAGATAAACATTCTTATCTTATGGGTTTGATTGAACAGTGTAGAGTTAGCCTTTCCTCAGGCAGGGACTGCAGTTTAACACTTGACCTTGCCTCCCAGGCTAGGAAAGACAAAATTTGCCAAGTTCCATGTCCAGGTTGCTATCTAGTGACCCCTGCTGGAAAGTTATTTAAAGTATTTCTTTAATGGAATTCCCCACCATCTGTGGCTCACTCCAGAACTGTGAGAAGAGTGCCCGCAGATCAGAGTGATACACTGCCAGTGACCAGTGGGAGTTCCTGTTTGCACAACTCATATGCTTCATTAATGAATCCAGTGGGAAACAAATATTGTAGTTTAGACCCTGGTATCATACCAAAGTTACTTTGGGTCATCTTCATGTTTCTACAAACATATTTCCATATAGTCTCAATAAACTCACCGTACACTGTTTTGTCAAGACATTCTAACCAGGAAGATAGTAGGCTTGACCCCTGATCTGTGAGAAGTTAACACTTGGTCTCAGCAACCCAAGCTTAGGAAAGGAAAATTAGCTAGTTTATTTTCCTGTATGCTTCCTTATGACCTCTACTGGAATTTTCTTTGGTCAACCAGGTGCTTGCCACATGCTGAACCCCATCACCATGAATAAGAGCCTGTGGCTACCATATGTATTGTTGGTGTGGAGCATAGCATTTGAATGCCAAGTTTGTGCGATGTTAATCAGCTCTTGGGTCACTGTACAATAAGTCCTGTGAAACACTTTGATCTTTCTTGATAAGTAGCTATATCAAATGCAATAATGATTATTATTATTATATGAAAATGATCAATAAACAACACTCTCAGGTCATCAACCTTGCAGGCCTCACTGTGAGACTGACAACGTGTTACAATAATGGACTGACTTGTTGATTGATTTTTCCCGATTCTGTTAGTTGTATAGGTGAACAAGTGAGAGATTGTTCTGCAGTTCAAACAGAAGGTATTTGAAGCTTTGCCAAACTAGGAAATAAGTCTTGAAGATAAATATTAAAATGGGCAGTTAGATGCAATGTTAATGCATAAAGTTTGTAAAGGTGAATGTAACATCTGTGGTTAAAATATTTACACCTGTGCAAAAGACAATAATATTCCTTGTGTTGTAATAATCCTTGATATAATATCTTTCACATCTTGAAGACATCCCAAAGCACTTCAGAGAAGCAGCTATAGAGTATAGTGATTGTATTTCACAGATGAACATGGCAGCCAATTTTCGGACAGCAATGACCCACAAACAGCCATGAAGTAAGCAACAAAATTTATTTGGGGGGATTATTGAGTAGGACACTGGGAGAAACTTCCTCCTTTCAAATAAGGATCATGGGATCTTTAATATCCACTTGAACAGATAGACAGGACCTTGGTGTAATGTTTCATCCAAAGGACCCCACCTCCAACAATACAGCATACCACAGCACTGCCTTGGAGCGTGGGGTAGCCCAGACTGTGTGAATTCAAACGTGGTGTTTGAACCAACAACCTTCTAACTGAGAGAGTGCATTACCAAACTACTCAGAGCTCCAAACATAAATAGAAATTTCCATTGGTCTAGTCTGGGAGGCACAAGAGCAAGAAGCTTGTCTCCAACACACACTCAGTGTGGAGTCTTGAGTGACCAAGGTTTTAAATGGCACCTCGGTGGCTATAACACTGTAGGTCTGGAACTCCTCCACCAGCCAATTCATACACAAAGGAGTCCCCAGGGCCTGCCAACTCCCGAGAACTATACTGGAAAATGGTGTCCTTATATGGGAAAAGTTATTTCCTGGGCCAAGCAGAGAGAGTGCATTATCCAGGATTCACCAAAACAATAGAGTACTTTTGGATGCATCAACAGTGGAACAAGAGGACACAGGTGTAGAGTTGCAAAGGACAATTTCAGGATTAACATCAGGAAGCCAGGAAGGATAGTGGAGACAAGGACATTAGACTGATTTAAAAAACAGCTTCATGCTATAACGGGAGGACAGAAGGGTGGGTTTCCTGGAATGATGAGATCAGATGAGCAGAAGGACCTTCTTTGTCTGAACTGATCTTGTGATCTTCTGAGCCAATTTCAATATTAGATGAACCCAGTTGGAATGGAACCTTGCTTATGTCAGGGAACAGACGCACATCTCCAAGACCAATATAATTTAGATTTATTTTATAAAGTGAGAATTCAAAAACACGATTACGCTGACACGTTATTTCTGCTATTGAAATATGTAAACATTACCAACAAAAGGATAGCTCACTATTGGTTTCTGTACTTGTCAAGATTTGCTAGAAGCATTTCTCCAGTTAATTATGTGTCAAGGCAGGTCTGTGAGGTGGAAATACACATTTATCGACTTGGTATA